TTTTACCTTAAATTTGTAATTTTAGATGACCTTTGAATCTCCTTAGCAATATAAGGTTTTCTTTCTTTTTTAAGGTACCTTTCCTTGACCTTTTTTGGTATTTTATTTGACTTTATACTTCAGCTGAATAGAGTATTAATCAATCAAGAAAAGTTAATTTTGAAGTAACTCTTGTTTGTTTTTCCTCATAAGCTATTTGAACTGCTGGGACCAGAAGGACTTGAACTGATTGAAAAGCTCCTTCAGAACAGAATTATGATTGTGGATAGATTTCTTAACTCTTCTAATGATCATAAACTGCAAGCTCTTCAAGGTAAGAATGAATACAGTGTGATTCTAATAAAAGGAAAACTGTATTAGTGAATCTTCTTAAAAGGTTTAACCTTATGTATCCTTTTGTCTATTATGTAATGTACCGGTAACACCCATTTAAATGTCTTGTATATGACTAATTATAACATAAATATTCATAACCTAAATTGCAAAGAGCTCTGATAGTGATTTTTGTGTTTGTTTGGATATGGCATGGCAATTTTCAGTTTTTAAAGATAAGACCGCTTAGAGTACACTTTTTTTTTTTAATGTAACTGTTTCAGAGTAGGAGCCCTGGTGGTATAGTGGCTACAGGTTGGGCTGTTACCTGCAAGCACCACTGTTCAGAACAACCTGGAGCTCTTCAGGAGAAACACTGCACTTTCTACTTTCATAAACAGTCACAGTGTCAGAACCCCACAGGGGATTGCTATGAGTCAGCATCGACTCAATATCAGTGTTTACTATGGGTCAAGCAAGCAGTAATGCCAAGCTGTGGACAAGTATGTTCGTGCTTTGCACACACAGATAAGGGGGCTCCAAAATGTTTATGAAAAAATTCCATGAATATTTTGAAGCCATCTCATATATCTTTCCCAATTGCTTTGCTGTGTGCAGGAAGGGAGACTTTCATAGAGTCAGCATCCATTAATGTTCTCTTTCTTTTCCCTTTCTGCGCACACACACACACACACACACACACACACACACAGTTACATTTTTTTTTGCTGATCAGTGACAGGAAGTTATAGCACTTTCAAATTTTGTCATATTATTTCTTGGCCCGATTTTTTGCAACTTGACTATAATGTATCTAGGTATATGTGTGTGTGTGTTCGTGTGTGTGTGTGTGTGTGTGTGTGTGTGTGTACACCTTAGGGATAAGGTAACGGCAAGCTAGATTGATAGAGAGGTCATATATGTAGGAAGCAGGGTGGAGTAGCACCCCTCAAGTGTCATAGTAGTCAGCTTAAAAGTTTCTAGTGCATTAACATAGGAAAAGAAAGATTTTAGGGTTTATCTCAGCTGTGTTAGGTCATTGAAGGTCGCTCTCATGAATTTGTGTTATATGCTTTCTGTTTTTCGGTATTTGAAACTCAGGATTGCTGAACCTATAGGGACAGAAAGTAAAATAAGGGTTTGAGGGGTGTGTGCATGGGGTGGGGAGTTATACTGGTTGAGGTTGGGATTTGGGGTGTAAAGGGAGATGATGGAGTCCAGGAAGGAAAAGAATGTTGGGAAACTGATTATGGTAGCAATTGTATAATACTGCTTATGTGATTGTACTATGGAACTATATGATATATATCTTTTAACTACCAGTTATTCAAAAAACCTATCATTCCATGGTCATCTGCCTTGAATATTATTATTTGAGAAATAAGTTACTAATCTTGCTATTTTTGTCACTCTTGAAGAAAGTATGGGGCTTCTTTTCTTCTGACTCGTCATATTATTTCTTGGCCCTATTTTTTGCAGCTTGACTATAATATATCTAGGGGTGTGTGTGTGTGTATGTGTGTGTGTACCTAGGGATAAGGTAACGGCAAGCTAGATTGATAGAGAGGGCATATATGTAGGAAGCAGGGTGGAGTAGCACCCCTCAAGTGTCATAGTAGTCAACTTAAAAGTTTCCAGTCTGTTAACATAGAAAAAGAAAGATTTCTTTCATCAAGGAAGCTATATGGGGCATGACTGGGACAAGGAGTAACAAAATTGTTAAAGTGGATGAAAAGATAGGAATGTCTGTATGAGAAATTGGGTAAAGGGGCAACTTTCACTAGGTGGAAGGAATGAATGCATACAAGTGTAGCAAATGCTGGAAGAAAGACGAGGCATTCTACTCCCATAAATAGTTATAATCTAGAAACTCACAGGGCAGTTCTACCCTGTCCTAATTAACTCAGGGGCAGTGAGTTTTTTTGGAAGTAGTAAATGCAGGAACCCTGGTGGTGTAGTGGTTATGGTGTGTGTCATACTGTTAACCATAAGGTCAGCAGTTCAAAACTACCAGCTGCTCCACAAGAGAAAGTTGAGGTTTTTTACCCCCATAAGGATTTACAGTCTTGGAATACAGTCAGGACAATTCTTCCCTCCCTATTAGGTCACTTTGAGTCAGAATTGATTCAATGGTCATGAGCTTCAGAGGGTAGAAAAGTAAGTAGGCAGCAAATTGATCTTATGACTGTGTGTGTGTTTATCCTTTATCCTTGAATTTTTTAGTTGATAGTTTTCATTAGTTTTGGAAAATTGAACATATTAGTTATAGTTATATTTAAAGGTCTTATATGCTAAGATATTTGGATGACCTGCTAGCTATATTTTTTCATCTTTTTGGTTTTTATATAACGTTTTTTCTCTGATATGCCTAATACTTTTTAAATGAGTACCAGACATTTTAAAATTATAGTGGCTCCAAATGATGTTTTCTTTCTTTAGAGAGTCAGAGTGTGCGCTGACCACTGTAATCCATTTACAGATCATGCTATGTGGACACTAGGTTGCATGTTTGAAAAGGCTCAATGGACTTGTGGCTTATTCGTCTTCTTAGGCAACAATCTTTTAGGGCCTTCAACGGAATCCCAGGCCTTTCACCAGGCACCCCTCCTTTTAATTGTTACCTTTTGTGCTCTGTGAAACCGTTAGAAACTTTCTTCTATTTTTCACACCTTGTCCACCCCTTTTTAAATACTGTTTTAACTTGCTGCCCTGGACAATTTTGTAATTTAACAGATGTCTTAATGAGAATTGCAACCATGTTTCTGAACCATCCACAAACTCCCAATTTTTATCACTCCAGTTCTAAGCTACAGTGACAGCAAGTGCCCTTTACTGTAGGCAATTCTTAACTTATCAAATTTATGCAGAGAAGGTGGCTGCAGATCACCAATTCACCTCTCTGCTTGCCCCCTTTTCTAAAATATCATTCTCTTCTGCCCTCTGGCTTCAGTACCCTCTGATGCCTTTGAAATAGGAGTTTTACATTTCATCTAGTGCTTACACATTAGGATGCCAACCACGGCTTCAGTAGTTGGAAACCCTCAGCTGATTATCAGGAGAAAGACAAGGCTTGCTATGCCTGCAAAGAGTTGCAGTCTTGGAAATCCGTATGTGCAGATTGACCCCTTCCTATAGGGTCTCTGTGAGTTGGAATATACTTGATGGCAGTAAGTTTGAGTTTATTAATGTTAGTCTGCTGTGAGCTATATCATTCTATTTGGTAGAAAAAACTATGACATTCTGTCTTATAATTATGTGGAATATAGGAGAACCTGGTAAAGAGAAGAAATACAGTGACTTTGTCCCTGGTACCACATTGAACTTAATAAGATACTAGAGTATTTATTAGACAAGTTCTTGGGAGATTTTAACTTCCAAGGTTACCGGGAAGAATATACTTTAGTCAAGAATTAAGAAGAGATAGCTAGGAAGCCCAAAATATAAAAAAATACTTCATTTAGTGTTGCAACTGATGCCCACTTTGGGTTTTATATATTAAGCTTGAAAATGGAAAAAAAAAAGAAAATAAAAAGAAAGTGGAGTTTCTTAATTTTGTACAAATGTTTCTTCCCAACCTTACAAATAGTTGGGATTTTAAAAACGTGCACTTGAATAGACGATTAGACAACCTTCTTGTAAATATTCAGTTTCTATGCTTCACCTGTGTGAGGTTATGTCACCTTTGCCTTATATTTTTGTTTATGACAGTAAAATTAAATGATGAAAAGAGCCTGAATTTAATTCTAAACTTTCTTAAGGATTTTTAAAAAATCAAACACTTTTATTTCTGATATATGTTCTCAGAAGGCAAATTGCTTTGAGAGTTTTAGAAACTTGGGAATATTGAATCTGGGAACTTGGTTTTTCTGACAGTCTCTTGATTTTTGTGTGCATGTTTGGGCTCCCATACATTGAGGATTACTAGACACACTGACAAGCCAACATGATTTAGGAACATTTAAATGTGTATTTGCCAGACAAAAAGGAATGTGTCTGAAGACATTGCCTGCAGTGTGGTAAATTCTAAGAATTTGGTGCTTTGTTTCATTAATTCTGTAACAGTTTAATATAGAAATATATAGTTTCAAACTTTTAATACTACTAATTTATATTTAATGAGCTTTGGTTACACTATCAGGTAAGCATGGGCTGCTAACCATAGGGTCAGTGATCCAAGCCCACTAGCCACACCTCACGAAAAAAATGAAGCTGTTGGCTCCCATAAGGACTTACAGCCTCAGGACCTGTACACAGGGTCACTGTGTGTTGAAATTTAGTTGATGGCAGTGCACTGGCACTCAAAGAGCGTGTTCAACCGCAAACCCCACAGATTCAACAATTTAAACCCACTAGCCAGTCTATGGGAAAAGATAAGACTGTTTGCTTTTAAAAAGATTTACAGCCTTGGAAACCCTATGTAAGGTCAGTATGAGTCCGAGTCAAACCTTATGTGAGGTTGTGATGAGTTGGAATCGGCTGTGGGTGATTTGTAATTTTTTCAAGTTCAAGATGAATCATATCACGTATTTCTTTAGTTATAGATGATGAGTTAGTGTTATCTAACAATTCTAATTACCAATCAACCTGTCTTAAAATGTATTATATTCTTTTGTCTCATGCTAGATTTTTATCCATGTTGCTTTTATCTAAGAGTTTTAATAAGTCTATTCTAGAATAGAACCATATATTTAAGCATTTGTTACTTTATAACTTGAGTTTTCAAAGTTACCTATTAGGCTTAGTCTTATATAATTCTAGTATATTCTGACCCTATGGTTAGCAGCCCATGCTTACCTAATAGTGTAACCACACACACATTCAAAGTGTCTGCTGCCATCTTTGAGTAAGTCACCTTTGCCTATTTCCTACTCATGTCAAATTCTGCCACGCAGACTTGTTTGCTATGCCATGGGTATTCTGCCTTTGTTATTGTTGGCCATGACTGAAAACAGTGTGAGCCAATTTGAAGCCCTGGTTTTGAGACACAGGGCTCCCATTAGTAGTGTTTGCCATTTTCCAAATTGTATTTCCATTAAAAGGTAGGTTGTACTTTTTCTCTATTTGCCTTAGTTGTCATGTAAGTATGTCCTCAGCTCTTGCTAATACATTTTATTTCATGCATACATAAATAGTAACATAATCATTCGAAAAGAGTAAGATATATTTAATAGGAAAATATGGTATCTAATGTGGAAATAAGGAGCCCTAGTGGCACAATGGTTAAGTGTTTGGTAACTGAAAGATTGGCAGTTCAAACCCACACAGTGGTTCCTTAGGAGAAAGATCTGGCAATCTTTCCTCATAAAGATTACAGGCTAGCAAACCCTTTAGGACAATCCTGTACTGTCACAGGGGTCATTGTAAGTTGAAAATTGACTCAGTGGCACCCGACAATAACACCCCACCTATTCACTGCCATCAGGACTCTATTTAAGGTTTCCACAGCTGTGTAAGTCATTATGGGAGTGATGGCTTCATTTTTCTGACTGCATCAGCTGCTGGGTTTGAACTGCCAGGCTTGTTATTAGCAGCCCAATGCTTATTGGAAGTGCTATCTTAATCATAAGAGCATTATGTGAAAAGTTAAATTTACTTATTTAATATGTTAACAGCAAATGCTAACTCACATTGAATGATTATTTATCAAAGTTATATAAACGCATTATTTCAAAATCATAAAATTAAGTGTTTGCATGTCATGTTTTATATACCTCCTTTGTCATCATGTTGATCCTATTCACAGTGATCCTATATAAAATTTCAAAAGCTATACGTCTTCATGGGAGGAGATAGCCTGATCTCTCTCCTGTGGGGAATGGCTGGTGAGTTTGAACCACCAACTTGTGGTTAGCAGTTCAGCCCTTAGCCCGACATCTCTTGGACACCTTGTTTTTAACACTAGAATTTTTTTTAAAAAATCCTTTTACTGGGGGCTCTTACAGCTCTTATCACCATCCATCCATCCATCCATCCATTCTGTCAAGTACAATTGTACATACGTTGCCATCATCACTTTCAAAACATATTCTTTCTACTTGAGCTCTTGGTATCAGCTCCTCATTCCCTCTCTCCCACTCTCCCTCATGAACCCTTGATAATTAATAAATCACTATTTTTTCATGTCTTACACTGACTGCTGTTTCCCTTCACCAACTTTTCTATTGTTTGTCCCCTTGGGGGTATGGGTTATATGTTGATTATTGTGATCAGTTCCCCCTTTCCCCCACCTCTTCCCCTTCACGTGCCCCTCCTGGTGTTTCTATTCTCATTATGGGTACTGAGGAGTTTATCTGTCCTGGATTCCCTGTGGTGTGAGCTTTTATCTGTACCAGTGTACCTGCTCTGGTGTAGCCAGATTTGTAAGGTAGAATTGGGGTCATGACAGTGGTGCGGGAGGGGGAGAGGAAGCATTAAAGAACTAGAGGAAAGTTATGTTTTGTTGGTGCTGTACTGCATCCTGACTGGCTTGTCTCTTTGTTCTGACATTTCTGTGAGGGGATGTCCAGTTGTCTACAGAAGGGGTTTGGGTCTCCACTCCGCCCTCCCCCTCGTTTACCTCAGTATGATTTTTTGTTCTGGGACTTTGATACCTGATCCCTCTGACACCTCATGATCACAAAGGCTGGTGTGCTGCTTCCATGTGGGCTTTGTTGCGTCTCAGCTAGATGGCAGCTTGTTTATCTTCAAGGCTTTAAGACCCCTGACACTATATCTTTTAATAGCCAGGCACCATCAGCTTTCTTCACCACATTTGCTTATGCACCCATTTTGTCTTCAGCGATATGTTGGGAAGGTGAACATCACAGAATGCCGGATTATTGGAACAAAGTGTTCTTGTGTTGAGAGAGTACTTGAGTAGAGGCCCAATGTCCGTCTGCTACCGTAATACTTAGCATATAAATATATGTGCGTAGATCTATTTCCCTATAGTTATATATAAATATATTTACATATGTACATGCCTGTATTTAGACCTTTGTAAATATTCTTTGCCCCCTAGTTCTTTCCTCTATTTCCTTGTACTTTCCTCTTGCTCCATTATCATGTTCAACCTTCGTTCGGGTTTTATTATAGTATATACTCATGTATAAGCCGAGTTTTTCAGCACATTTTTTTTTTGCAGTTTTTGTGGTAAAATTAAACACCTTGGCTGACATTCGACTTGGCTTATACTGAGTATATACAGTAATTCCTCTTGGCCATATTGTCCTTGTTCAAATCCTTCCAGGCATCATATGACCTCCTTGCCATTGATTTTAGATCCCTTGTTCTTCCCTTGTCTCTGGGTTTGCTGGCTCCCCCCTTTCTTTCCTCTGCCTCCCCCTCTCCCATGTCCCCCCGACGCTGTCGGTCCCTTTGTTTTCTCCTCGGGATTGTTTATCCCACCTATCTTAACATGAGGGTTTTTAATGCTAATAAAATTAAACTCTAGTCTGCAAAAGAAGAAATGTGAGACGGTTGTCTTAAAATAACAGGGAATGTCATTTAGACACTTTTCCTCAAAGTGGGTCATACTGTCCACTGAAGGGCATGAGCCCACCATCTCCTCTTTAGAAAAAAACTACTCAGTGCCCCCCTGGTGTGCTGAGCTGTGTTGACTAGAGAAACAAATTCAGTGACACTCATATATGTGGAAGAGAGAGCTTTATACCAAAGAGCAATTGTATATTGAGAAAACATCCCAGCCTGGTCCAGATCAAGTCCACAAGTCTGATACTAGCCCATATGTCCAATAACTAGTCTGTAAATTCCTCTTGAGACTCATGCAAATACTCACAATGTTGCTGAATGCAGGAAGATCACAGGTTCATGGTAGCAGAAGCATCTCAGCACTAGAGGGAGTCTCCACGTGGCTCCTCCACAGGAAGATGAAGCAGAGAGAGAAGGTGTCCCGCCTCTAGAGAGAAAGAGGCTGTGACCTGACTGACAGGCTGGACTCTACCCTTTCATTCTTATGTATCAAGTTGACATGAAATTGTGTAACTACCACACCTGGCAATCAACAACTTTTCTACTTATCCCATAATCCAATATAAAGTCATAGGTATCTGCTTTTGCCGTCCTCTGGAATCATTTTAGGAGCTCTGGTGGTGTAGTAGTTATGCGTAGTTGGGCTGGATCCCATAGTTGGTAGTTCAAATCCACCAGCAGGTCTCTGGCTGAGCTTTCTCTTGGCAGCAACAGCTGCTATCTCGGGAGCCCACGGGGGCAGCTGAGTCAGCATTGACTCCGTGGCAGAGAGCATGGAATCATTCCAGAGTCCCCCCCCGGGGGGGGGGGCGGGCAGTATTGTCCACTTTGGGAAAAGCTGTTGTAAACATGTGACAAAAAGAAAAACCCTCCTTAAAACATGTAACTAAATATAGCATTTAAACAATGAATTGTTGGATTATGCTATTTTATAGTTTGGTGTGGAGAAAAAAATGGTTTTCATAAACATTAAACCAAGTATGAGATTTGTAAAACGTGGTTTCTTAAATTTGCTCTGCAGAAAATTGCAAAAAAATTTTAGGAGAAAATGCTAAACCTAATTATGGTTGTCAAGTCACTATTCAGTCTGAACAAGAAAAGCAGTTAATGAAACAGTATCGCCGTGAGGAAAAAAGAATTGCCAGACGAGAAAAGAAGGCTGGAGATGATGGAGAAGTTTCTGGAGAAGGACCAATGTGCTTTGATCCTAAGGAATTGCGTTTACAAAGGTAATAAATGCCAAATGCTGAAAAATGCTTGTACTGTAATTTCTATTTTTATATATCATTATCATTTTTTAGCTTAGTTTTAGCAACCTTGATGATTCTACTTCTAGTCACGTTTTCTTACAAGAGTAGAATTTTGTTGTATGTAAACCTAATTTTCTGGGATAAGAAAGCAGTGATCTGCCTAATTAGAATATTCTTGGTTGCATCCACATGGGTGAGAGATTTAGAATATAAAGGTAAGCTATATTTAGATACTGTGCACACTCCACTGGGTTAAGCTTTATGAAGCTTAGCGAAATGTATTGCGACCCTTGTTTCTTAATGGATACCTTTTTGCCATGTTATTTAAAATAGAAAGAAGGGAAATGGAATAAAGACATCAAAACTCATTTAAAATGGCTTTGAATTGTGGAAAAGGCAATTATCAAGAACATTAAGTCAAACTTAATTGAATTGTGCCATCTAAATTAGCATCTAAAATGTGACACATGACTCTTTGGTTGTCTCAAAACTTCAAGATTGCTAGTCTTCCCTTTTCTTTTGGAATGTCAGTCTACCTGAAATAATGATGATAGTGATCTTGCTGTATGCTTTCCTTTTCAAGATAGAAAATGAAACTTGCCCATTATTTGTATCTTCATAGAGAACAGGCGCTTCTGAGTGCCAGAAGCTTTCCAGTGTTGAGCAGGCAGAAAGAGATGGGCAATGAGAAAATGCGTTTTCCCCATGTTTATGATTCCCAGGTCGAAGCCATGAAGACCTCAGCTTTCATTGCTGGTGCAAAGGTAAGCCATTGATAAACCACCCCTTTGGGACAATACATCTGTTCTGACAAACTAACACAGATTTCCCTTATTTCCATTGTACTGCTTGTTCAAGTTTATTATAATTTGCTTACCGTATATACTCTAGTATAAGCCAACCTAAGTATCAGCTGAGGCACCTAATTTTACCACAAAAACTGCATTAAAAATGTGCTGAAAAACTCAGCTTATACACGAGTGTAAACGGTAATTGTACTTAATATTATTGATGAAAATGAAATAATGGAGTATATATAAACTTAGAATAGAAACTACATCTCATTTTTATTATTTTTTTTACTAGTATTTTTGAGGGTTAGTATTTGAATCACTGTTTTGATTAAGATTTACACTGTGGTTACACATTTTTTACAACTTACCTGAATACGTTTGTCTTCAGAAATACATTTGACTCGTGTGCTATATGCAGAAAGATCCCTGGTGGCACATTGGTTAAGCACTCTTTTGCTAACCAAATGGTTGGCAGTTTACATCCACCAATGGCCCTGCTGGAGAAAGATGTGGCATTGTTCTTCCATTAATATTACAACCTAGTAGGAAACGCTATAGGGCAGGTCTACTCTGTTCTGTGGGCTTGCTGTGAGTCAGAACTGACTTGATGGGAACTGGTTGGTTTTAGGGTTATATTAGACACCTAATACATGAATACTTTTTTGTGTTGGGCGTCTTTGTTTAGTTTAGGGTCAGTAAAACAAACTTACTACCATCAAGTCATTGTGACCCTATAGGACTGAGTAGAACTGCTCCTATGAGTTTCTGGAGTGTAAGTTTTCACAGGAGCAGAAAAATTCATCTTTCTCCCATCAGAAACCGTAACAAGTGTTTGAGCTGCTCACTTTGTGGTTAGCAGCAGCCAACTCATAGCTTTCCTTAAATTACTTATTTAACTTACCACTGTTATGGTATCAAATTCAGTATTGTTCTGTATCTTGCTTTCATTTCAAAGAGCCTTTATCAGAGCAGTGGTTTTGTTTTTTTAGTTACGAGTGTATTTTAATTTGTTATCCTTCTAGATGATCTTACCAGAAGGAATCCAAAGAGATAATAATAAGATCTATGAAGAAGTCAAAATCCCCTACAGTCAACCAATGCCAGTTGGCATTGAGGAAAAGCCAGTGTATATCCAGGACTTAGATGAGGTAAGATGAACATTTTATAGAGCGGGTCTTTTTGATGTCTGGTTATGTTTAATGAATAGTTTGTATTAGAATATTTGTTTTAGAAATTAGCAGTTGACCATTATAGTCCAGAGATATATGCAGTTGCTGACTAAAGTACTACAGTAGGGGAATTTACATTTAAGCATGCATATATGCATATGTTTATTCACTAAAAATATTTTGTGTGTGTCAGTATGAGTGGAGCAGACTGAATGACACCTAACACCACCAGCATTGAGAGCATGCGTGATTGCAACTATGTAACTCATCCCCCCACACATACTTTTTTTGTTTGTTTGCTTCTTGATTTCCTCAGTTTAGCAAATGAAATCTAACGTTTCCTCTGGATCATCAAGTAGTTGTAGAGAATATCAGCAGCAATATTTCTAAAGTTCAAGCCTTCTATTAAGACTAGTTAATGAGGTAGGAAGTATGATACATTCAGTTCCTTTCGGTAAGAAATGATGGGAGATTTTCCTGTATCTTGTTTATGTCCCTGATGCTGCCTATGGTCCAAGGAGTTTGCCAGAGGGATGATGATGCTTGGACCATGGGGCCATAAGAATAATTTTTAACCCCACAAGTCTTCTTTTACAGTTAGAGCAAAAGAATTAAGTGGAAAAAGAAACCAGTGGGGATTTAAAATCAGTGTTATATCACTACACACAGTCACTCTCCTAAACTTCAACTTTTGGATACCTTAAAAATAGATTTTTGAAATAAAATTCGTATGGTATGAAGTTCACCCTTTTAAAATGCACAGTTAGGTTGTTTATGATCATAATAAGCATTAATCTAATCCCTGGTTACAACCCATAGGGAGATTTTACTATATATATATATAAGTTGTTCATATATACAAGGTGTTTAGTATATATACAAGTTGTTCAACTATTTAATTCCCGAACATTTCATCACCTCCAAAAGACGCCCCATTTACAGTACCAGTCAGTCTCCATTCACCCTTTGGCTAAGCACCTGACAATAACTAATCACTTCCTGTCTGTATGGATTTGCCTATTCTGGTCATTTAAGATAGCATCTTCACTGTTTCTGGGGACTAAGACATATAGAGAGCTTTGGAGGACGGTGAGACTACTCTCTTTACCACACATGACATGGATGATTACAACTTATTTAAGCATCCACCCATTGAAAGATGTCTGAGTTGTGTATAGTTTTTAGTATTATGAATGAAATCTCTACAGACATTGATGTACAGCATTTTAAATTTGAGATGTATGGCATTTGAATGTTTAACTTAAGAAACGACCACACCATTTTCTAGAGTGCACCAGTTTTCCATTCCCATCTGCAGTATATGTGTGCTTAGTTTTTCTGCATCCTTGTCAGGGTTTGGTGTTATCACTTATTTTTTATATTAATCACTTGAAATTTATAGTCATTTCTCATTGTGGTGCTATTTTTTACTTCCATAATGGCTCAGAACAATGTGAAAATAATACATCCTAATGCAATGTTACATATGATAGCAACATCAATCCAATATGTAAACTAGTGCTATATCATTTTGGATGATTATCCTGCCATATATCAGAATCTTGAGAATTAAAAGAGACCTCAGGAGAGAATATAACTGTTAAGAGAGTGCCACCGTTTAGTCGATGCTTCTGTTGACTTGAATCTTTTATACCATGTAGGATCTTTTATGTATTAGGGAGAGTGCTATTTTAAAAAATTGTTGCCTATCTTTTTTACTGAGATCATAATCACATGCTGTTACTAACAGTCCTAAGAAACTCTAGATAAAATGCTTTTATGTCCTCTTCCTGTCTGAATGTCATATTATATAATTTTGTCCTGTCTTCTTAAATTGCTTCTGTGATTTGATTAAAAAGACATAGAATTTTAAAATTCTGAAATGATGTGTAAAAAAATGCACTTACTGTCATTAAATGAGTTTTGTGCTTTTTTTTTGGAGAGAGAACAATTGGAAAGTTTTAGATAGACTTAAGTATGAGTCAGGATTCACTGAGGTTGAAGTTACAGAATCAAAGTCAAAGCTAGCTTTAGCAAAGAAACAGTTTAATGGCTTTTCTAATTGGAATGTTCGGAAGTAGAGGTGCCTATGTGCTTAAATAGAGATACAGGGTTAAATGATATCAATCCAGCCCTCTATCTCATTCTCCCTTCACCTGACTACTTTCTGTGTTACCTTTTACCCCCAGCTCCATCTTGTCCTTCTCCAGTTCTCTTCATTTCTTGACTGCCACGTATGCTTTCTCTGTCTGTCAATGACCCACTGCCATGGAGCCAATTCTGACCATACCGACCCTGTAGGATACATTCTTCTCCCACAGAGAGGCTGGTGGGTTTGTAATGTTGACTTTGCATTAGCACCCCAGTGGGTACCTCACTATGTCACCAGGGTTTCTTTTTTATGGGGAAACCTTTAATGATGACTATAAGCATCGTATATATATATATGTGCTTACATTGATTTAATGACTATAAGCATCATTATATATATATATATATATATATATATATGCTTACATTGATTTAGGTGTCTCATTAACTTTGTAGCCAAATATATTATCTGTTGTAGAGTGTAGAGTTCTTATTTGCCATACCAGGGCATGGGTCCACTCATGCTTCTTGATTTTCCAACCATACATGGAATCAGAGAGAGTTAGGAGGAAATTACTCAAGGAAAGGAAGGTGCTATGAACATTATAAAAAGCAGTTAGAACTTGGCATTAAAACTTGGATACTTTGGGTTAATGACTCCAGTTTGCTTTTTTGTTTATGTTAAATGTGTTGATTTCTACTAACACAGTTGAGATTTATACGAGAGTAAGTAAAAAAGTGTTGCTACTAGAATTCCAGTTGAGACACATGGGTTTATTCCAAATAAGATGTATTTAAACATTTCTCTGCAATCAGTGGATGCCTGCAGATAAGTTCTCTCAGTAATGACACTCAACTCAGATTCATTAGGGCACCCTGGTGGCGGCAGTAGGTTCTGATGTGCAGTTTGAACCTAGCAGTAGCTCAGAGGGAGAAAGGTGATGCCTGTGCTCCAGTAAAGACTCACAGTCTTGGAAGGCCACAGAGTGGTTCTGCCAAGCCCATGGCGGTGAGCTTGGTTGGTCTTGGTGCATTTATTGTTGTTGTGGTGATTGGGTGCCATCGAATCCATTCCAACCCATACTGATCGTATGTTTGCACAATAGAACAAAACACTGCTGGGTCCTGTGCCATCCTTACAATTGCTCTTCTGCGTGAGCCCACTGTTGAAGCCGCTGTGTCTGTCCATCTCCTTGAGAGCCTTCCTCTTTTTCCCTGCCCCTCTACCAAGCATGTCCTTCTCCAGGGACTAATCTCTCTTGACAACATATCCAAAGTATGTACGACTGAGTCTCCTCTTTGCATCGTGCTCGGTTCCGCTCTGAGAAAGCCGTTCCTCCTCTGTCACTCTTTGAGTGCCCTCTGACCTGAGCAGCCCACCCTCCAGCACTGTCTCTGCCGATGTTCTGCTTCCATTCCTTAGGCTTTCAGTATCTTGACAATGTTTCGAAGCTAAGAATAAGGTTTTCAGTGGCTTCTTCCGCTGAAGTGGGGACTTGAGTCCTTCTTCATTGCCAGTCCTTACTTTGGAAGCTTGCTGAAACCTATTCACTCTGGGTGACCCTGCTGGCATTTGACATACCAGTGACACAGCTTCCAGCATCACAGCAACAGAAAAGCCACCGCAGACAAACTGGCAGACTAGTGGTGAGGTAGATTTGTAGGTAGATATGAAAACAAAGGATGCTTTTACTGTCTTGCCAGAATTTAAAAAAAAAAAAAAGGTTTTGAGATTAAGGTTAATACCAAATTTTTAGCAAAAGTCAATTGAACATTCTCCTAAATCATTGAGGCTTGCATCAAATTTACGGACATCCTTTTCTGCATAAAACAACGGTCCTTATCTTGCCACCTCAAAATTAATTTTGTTCCTCAAACTCAAAAGAATAGTCCAAGAGCCATGATTTAAATCCCTCAAGGATACCAGAATTGTCATTTTTATGTGGTGTAAATTGATGAATACAGAATTCTTTGAGAAAGGGTTAGATGGATGGAGGGATATACAGTATAGAGGAATAGCAGCTTCAAATTTTGACATAAAAACAAAAGCTGAGTAAAAGTGTCTGATTTTGTAGCAATATTTTTACTTAGCTTTATATTTAGCCAATAGAATGTTATTTAGTTAAAAAAAATAGGACTGAAGACCCAAAATATAAGGGAAAATAGTATAAAATTTACATATACTATTTCATTTGAGAAGTTGCCTAATTATTGAGAATTTTAGATTTAGATCCTTCATGGCCTTAGCTTAAAATAATAAATATAACAATAAAAACTGACACAGAGACATCATTCATGGAGAGTGGAATTAAATATTAAGCAAACAACTAAAGAAAACTTGAATGCTGAGGTTGGAACCTTGAGGGAAGTAAAAAGGATTAGGTTACAGCAGAGTCTATGTCATAGAGCCTAGGATCATTGTAGCTTTGTATTCCACAGTTGGGAGGATGTAAGAACAGCATTTTGTTTCAAATCAAGGTGTTTACCACAGTGATTTCTTCTGAGGACTCTGATGGAGAATCTCTTCCATTTATCTCCTAGTTCCCAGTGATACATTGCATTTCTTGCCTTAAATATGCACCACTTCAATCTTTGCCTCTGTCTTGTTATACTTCTGTGTAGCTTTCTCTGGCTCTTCTCAGTAAGGATCCCACTCAGATTGGATTAAATCGACCCTATTACAATATGATTCCATTTCTTCTGATAGCATTTTCAAAAATCCTATTTTCAAACAAGATCATGTTCATAGGTGCCAAAGGTTGGACTTTTGACATATCTTTTGGGAATAAACAATTCAATGCATAGCAATTCATTCATTTATTACAGTTTTATTTTATTTTAGTTTTTGCACCAGTTAATTACTAGTATTTAAGGTCAATAGTTAATTG